TCCTGTCTGCAGCTGTGCAGCTGGAGACACTGCGATGCAAAAGGGCAGAACTGCTTTTGGCCCAGCACAGGCCAGTGCTTGATGAAACACCTAGTGGAGCACTTTGCAAAGGTCACCTTTTGGTGAAGAGGCCTGCTTTTCCCAGGAAGAGTATGTGAAATCATTCTGAATCTGGCTAATTGGGGTTGAGAGCCACATAACCCTCATCTGCTGCTATTCTCTGTTTTTGAGCACTCTGCATGTACCTTTTCTCACAGACAGTTCCGTCCTCAGATGTGCTCCTCCCCTTGGCTGCTATTTGAATGCTGCAGACAGATTAATTTTGTTCATTCTATTTGTGAAATTAAAAATGCAGCCACACACATCCTTGTAGAGGATTCAGGAAATGTCACACAGGTTGTTGAAACATGCCCAGAACTGAGAGTGAGATGTCCCAAGACCTAAGTTCAGTTTTGTTTGCTGCAGAGATTTTTGTGTGTTATAGCATGTCCCTGGATGGGGTCTAATTTAGAAAGTGGTATTAAGAAGGACTGATAGTGTCACAAGGATGCTGTTAGAAGAGACAAGGTGAAGGATTTAAAACCTTGCAGAAGTCAGAATAATGTTAACTAAATGCATAGAAAATGCAGATCCTGTCTGCACTTCACATAAGTCTCCCTAATGTGGGAACTCCATCACTTCCCGTGATGGGAAATGACATCAGCTGTACTTTTTCATGGAAAGCAGCAGAAGGATGTAACTTTCATAGGTAGACAGACTTCAGGCAGTCCCAGGCGGTGGGCACAACGATGCATTCCCCATCTCTTCCATACGCCCCCCTCCTTATCGGTGTGGAATTGCAGCTGAAATGAAAACTCCATGGCAACTTTCACACACCACCAGTGTTTGCTGAAAATGTGAAAAATTTACAAAAATAGTGTTTTGCCATTTATCACCCCTGAGTGAGTGAGGGGATAGGAAGTAGGAGAGCGTGAGCTGCAGCTGCTGCCAGAAGCGATGTGGGACTGCCTGGAGGCACTCAGGGCAGTTTGACTAAGTTGCAGTGAATCTGTAGTGAGTTTTCAAAGGGAGCAGAATAGAGGTGAGACTGGGGTGGTGTGACTGGAGCATAGGAGGAACCGGTTTGTGGCACTGTACATGCACAGGAGTTTAGAGAAACATGACAAAAGAGAGAGATTTTGGCTCCTGGAGGAGAAGTAAGCCAAGCATGGCAGGCGAGTGAAGCAGTGATGCAGTCCTCAACTTTGAGGAGTAGTGGAATTGAGTTACAATGCCAACATCCTGAATAAGAAAAACTAGTAAAAAGAACAAAAGGGTTAAATCTGGACCCATCCTTGGCTGTCAACACAATCAGTTATTACTCTTTAAGTTTAATATAACTCTTCAAGTTCGCCTACCACCCTTACCCCACTGCACAGTTCCTGCAGGAGGGCTGCTCCAGGATTACAATCATCTGCAGCCTCTTGTTGGTTGTAATCCAGAGACATTCCTGGATAGTTTATCTTAGCTTATCCTCAGAGAAACAGTTCTTCTTGATGTTTGCTTCAGTTTTTTTTAGAATGCTGTTACAATTGATAATTTGTGAGCTTATCAGAAAGTGCTATAGGAAAAGCAAATGTTCCCTGTCCCTTTAAAAGCAATAGTTCTGTTGTTTTGCTGATTAAATTGATAATTAAATTAAAAAGCTGTTGGTAATCAGGAGGGCGGGGAGTACCAGGTGCTAAAGAACTTGATAGGGGAAGATGGGACATTTCATTGTCTGAAAATGTCACTTCACAAGCTGAAGAACTATCATGGAAAAATGGCTTTTGAAGAGGAAAATGAGACAGATCATTTTATCATCTGCTGGCTTAAGAGAAGAAAGGAAATAAGTGAAGCGTGTGCAGCAGAGATCTTTGAGAACTGAATGTTGAGGAGCAAGTATTTGGTGACACTGTCCGTGATGGGAGTAAGGCAGGGAAAATTGAAGAAGTTTTGTCAGTGAAATTGGCAGAGGTAAAATGACTGCTGGGTAGATAATTCTAATTCATGCTGGGTTCTTTAGGGCATCATTGTAGCGTTTTTACCTGCTACTAATGTGAAAAGGAATGTGAGAAAGATTGTCCAAGCAATGTATCCTTAGTGTAGGTGAGCTGCTAACTGCATTCAGAAAACAAAGAACAGAAACACATCCAGGAGCACTACTTTTGCTTCCCTATTAACTACATCATGCTGGACTGCAGATCACCTGTGCTTTCAATCCCCAACCTCCAGTGCACTTTTCCTGTCATTTCTACTGTCTAATTAAGCTAGTATGATACAGAAGCTCATTAACCTTGCATCGTTTTCCCAATCAGAAATAAAAGCAGTTTGCTTGCTTTTTTCTTTTTCTACTCATTTCTGTCTATCTATATTTAGATTTCAGATTTAGAACTGAATTGTAACCATTCCTGGAGTGCTGATTCTGTTTTGGCAGAAGCTAAGGTACTTAATAGTGCTGGTGATTGATTCTGGGAGGCCAGCTGGATTACTTGGCTGGATGTGGACTCTGCTCAAGCAGAATCATCAGGGTTTAAATCATGAGAATCAGTGGAGTTGCTTGACTTCAGAAATGCCTGGAATAAAAAAAAGTATGAGTCCTTTGAGGAGTTATTCAGACCTCATTCAACTACACACAGCTAGATTAGCTATCAGAGTCAGGTGTCCAATCCTCCACAGCAAAGCTCACTTTCTAGAGCCCACATTAAGCATACAAGGCAACAAAATCTGCAAATTCCAGCAAAATTCAGTGCCAGAGATGGCACCACAAGTCCAGTGATGTTCAATCACCTTATTTCACCACAGAAATATAGCATTACTGCCATACGCCTAAACTCTGTATTAAACCAAAGGCACTATTCACTTAAAAAAAATGACATTTTGATATGTTATGCTATAGGAAATATGGGATAACTCTGCTTAAATCAGTGGAATGAAATTGAACAGATTTATAGCCTGGCAAAATTTACTCCTAAATGTAAGTGGAAATAATCTATCCACCTGGGAGTTGCTAGGAGTATGCCAGACAGCTAGATTTATAGAAACAAAGATGGATATTGAAGCAGGTGAATAATACTTTAACTCCTGATGCAAAAGAACTTTAAAAAAACTATGTATTGTTACAGGAGGACTATTAGTATGTTTTATACCTAAGTCTCTTTTATTAAAAAAGTTCAGGTTTAATTTCAAAGTCTAGTGACCCCTGCCTTCATAGAGCAGAAATTCCTCAGGGTGTGAATTGTCTCCCAATGTGTATGTACAGCCCCTGTCAGACAGGGACCCAAAGCATTAACTCAAACTTCTGAACATCATTTTAATTCCAATAGCAAACGTTTTGAAACAGAGTGTCACTTTTAAACTGCTTTACTGCAGATGGTCTTTTTCTTAATTCCCAGCCCTGTTAGTGAGCTGAGCTTATTGAACTGGTTGCCAGTTCTGGTAAGAGCAGATGGAGTGAAACGGGATAAAGGCAATATTTCAGTGCAGCTCCCGTGTACTGCCTCCCCCCCCCCCATGCCATTATTGACATGCATTTTAGAGCTCCACATCTCTCCTCATCAGCAGTCAGAATTGTAAAGAGGTTGAGCATACTTGGCTTGAATGTCAATAATCAATAAGGATGCTCATCTGGCTTAATAAAGATAGATTGTTGCCCTTGAAACAACGTACCATTCCAACACAAAATGAACTAAGGTGACTTCCTTGATGCTTATACTAACCCTAGGTGTCTGTGTCAGTGCGTGTGTGTGTGCTGATGTATGTATGTTGTTTTGTAGTTCTCTGGCTGTTCACTAGCACTATGGATTCCTCTTGTGTGTGTCCCATAATAATGTATTAAATTAATTATTTTGAGTGTTCCCCTTTAAAACCTCATTTCTTCTACTTCAGGCAGGATTTTTTTTTTTCTTTTAAAGACTTTCATTACAAACTCTCACTTTCTATAAAGCTCACAGTTTCCCCTTCTAAAGCCTGCTGACAGAGCATGGTAGGTGATATTTTCAGAAGTTTCTGTTGTGTGTGAACTATCATTGCCTCTAAAGCCTGTGATTAAATTCTGTCCAGCTTTAGTGAGGGCAGATAGACCGCAGTGCAGCAGAAGTAAATTAATTGTGAGTAAATAGTGATCCTACTCCTATGGGAAGCAGCTATTATTTTTAAAGAAAGCATGAATGTTCTGATCATACAGAAATCTGTAATACATAAGCATGGCTAACATCATGATGAGTGGTTCCCTGGAGACTTAATTTTTGATATTTTGATAAACAAATAAAACAGGACATTTAGTCAAATCTTATTCTTTTGCACAGTGTGTTAATACCAGCAGTCCTTGGTTATTACCAACAATTCTCGTCTGTTATTATCAAGAGTCCTTGTTTTGGCTCCACAGCCATGCAGCTATCAGTGTTTGAGACATATCACTTTAGCCTCCACTTTGTTGTTTATAGGGTCAAAAGAGAGTTGGCTTTAGTCATAGTAATTTTCCCTCCTGGCTGCAATTTGAATTAGTATCTTTCTTTAAGGTTCAACAACAAAAATATTATTCCACTTGGGTTGTTATTCAGGCAAGAAAAGCAAGTTTCCAAGGCTGTTCATTAAAAAACAGGTGCTCATTAGATAGCACTAGTTCTTGGGAGCAGACATTGTTTCTGATAAGCTCAAGACGGGCTTAGTCCAAGTGCTGTTTGTCAAGGCTGAGGCCTAACCAGCAATTCTCAGATCACAGTGTGGCCTGGGGAGGGGGGGAATCCCGTGGTTAAAATGAGCTTCTCTGGGCCTCTGTGAGCACAAGAACGACCCTTTTCTTGTTTGGGAACTGGGCCTATGTCAGTTCACCTCGAGTAAGTGTGGCCTCACTATGGAAGTGCAATGTCCCAAAGCCACATTGCTGTATAGCACTTTCTGTGGGCTGTAACTGGTCATCTGTGTTTTCATGTTTTGCGCATGTAGTTTTTAACCCTCTGTTTCTCTCCCTTTCCTGGCAGATTTTTATTGGTGAGATATCCATGTATTTCATAAAGTCAACCCGAGAAAGCCTAATTATTCAAGAGAAAACTATTTTGACTGGAGAATGCTGTTACCTGAACCCACTGCTTCGAAGAATAATACGTTTTATAGGTAAGAATCCTGATCACTGCAAGCTTAGTCCCTGCTTGCACCAAAACAGAATGAAACACACTGATAAATACATAAATACGTAAAAAGTACCTCACAAAATTAATTAAGCTGTGAAATCTTTACAGGCATCTTCCACCTTAGAGGGATAGTCCCCTCGGGATTTCCAAGGTAACGTTCAAAATTTGCCATATCATGCTGTCTGGAGCTGGTTCGTATCGTATTTTGCTGAGCTTAATGCTTTTTCTAGACCCTTGAAGAAAGGTTATATCAATCAAATCCTTATATGAATAATCCCATCATTGCTAGTCTGTGTAAGCTACCCATTTTACTTACAAATTGGTCTTCACCAGCTCATCTATTTGGCATTTTTCTTTTCAGCTCTGATTTTAACATCCATAGCTCTGCCACATAATGTTCAGCTGAACACAATGCAAAAAAGCCCAGAGCTCACTTCAAAACAATGTTATTATTTTCATTGTATTTGTTCTTTTTAGAGCTTTCGTGGAGTTAATTGCTGAGAAATGAAGTTCTGTCACTAAACCATTTGGAGGTTGCTTTATATGGTGCTTGAAAATCGCTATACCTTCTTCACACTGTTGATCAGCATTCCCAAGTTCATGCATGGAGCTGACAGTCTTACCCTGCATTAGGGTTTTCATCATCAGCAAATATATGCTGCAAAGGAGGAAGAACCATGGTTTTCCTTCTCCCTCTTCTACCTCTGTGCCTCCTGCTTTATACATGGAAGATAGGGAGGGAGATGTCCCTTCTGCCAACATTAGGGTGGAAGCAAACCAGCTATGATTTGTTAGTCAGGCCTGGACTGTGTGTTGGTGATGGAAACAAAAGATACAGGAATGCAGTTAAAAGTAAAATACCCTTGAACTTCACATAACCTCTAGGATATATTGATGGGCAGTGAACTGCTGTTGAGAGAGAAGCAGGGTACCAGAGTCCACCGGGCCACTCAGGGCTGTTTGACTATTCCAGCACATTTGGCATGTTGCAAAGCTCCAATCAAACACTCTTGCCTGTGGGTTCAGCACTGAAAGTACTTAAATCATGGAGGCGAAGCACTTGCTCAGTATATTTCCTTATTCTTAAACATTCATTCTATTGTTTCTCTTCTAGTGGAAAAGAAAAGGAATAGCAATGGCACAGTGGATTCTGAGAGTTGTACGATATGAGCCGTGCTAGACAAATGAATTTTGGCCTTGCAGCTATTTTTGTTTTCCTGAGAAAAATTAAATTAATATTATTAGAAATGGCTTAGTCTTCGTCTTGTCTTAAACTACACTGACTTTTTTCTTGTTTTCTTCTGAAACTTTCTCCCTGCCTCTGCAGTGAAATGAGAGAAGCAGAATTTGTTGAAAAGTGGATGAAATAATCTATGAAAGGAGCTGAAAATAACTGCATGCTTTTCATTTTGCATTTCACCTGCATTTTGAAAATATAACATGGACTGAGCAGCTGTACCCTGTGCTGGATGATCCAGGGAAGTTAACTCCATACAACTGCTTACTCCAAAAAGATGTTTCTGGAATGCTTGGCTCTGCTGAGGTGACTAGGTTGCTTATACATGGATTTCTCTGTGTCTGTCTTCTTTTGCTAAACTTGAGGGCCAAAAGTTACAGAGATCATTAAGTGGGTTGTCTTTCAAGATACCCTAGCAAGCAGGGTGGCTTACTGTGAGGAATTTTGCTGCCAATTTAGCTTTGGTCCTAATTCATTGAAATCCATCCACATCTGGTGATTTCTTTTACCCAGATGTTTGAGTAAGTCTTGCTGAGCACCTGCAAAAAGTAGCAATTTAACTCCTCAGAATATTGCCTTAGAAGGCATTACAGTTGATATGACTGAAAAGGATGAGAAAAATCTTTCAATGTGTCTAGGTGTTCATGTGTCAGAAAAAATGAACAGTAGTGACTGAACCTACAAGGCACATTAGGGGCAACTTTTGAAAGTTGCTGTTCCCAAATTTTAGAAAGGCAAAGAGGCTTTTTCTCCCTCCATAACTCGGTGTGATAGGTGAAGACACAGGTTTTATTCCAAGCAAATTAAAATAAAAAGGGGGTACTAACAAAGAACTATTTCTGTATATTTACTAACTTCTAGGCGTACCGTGGAGTCTGTAAGGTGAAAGGTCCTGTCTGGACCTAACACCAGGGAATCTTTTGCGGCCGGGAACAGGGAACAAATTATAAATAAAAATACATTTCTCTGTGCCATGTGGATACAGAGAAAGGCCCTCAGTGTGGGGATGATGCAAGACCCCCCTGTACGAACCCAGGGGAGATAAGTTACAACCAACCAAAAGGTAACACCCACCTCCAAAGCAGGGGAATTACCTTTTAAGGCAACAAACGGACAATGGATGAATATTCAACAACTGATATCAAGAGGGTACAAAAAGCCCGGTTTTCAAAGAAGGTTTGTGTGTCTCGGGCGGGGCACTGGCCCCCCAGACCACCCAGCGCTGTTTGCTTTATTATCACTTGCTTAATAAATTTATCAACTTTTAATTGGAACTGAGTTGTCTAAATTCTTAAACTAACTTATAACAATGGGAAGAGATGGGGTTTCAAGAATAGTAGCCTAAATGTGCTTTCCACAAAACAAGCAGAAAGTTGTAGATACTTCACTCAACGTTCATTTAGATTTTGTAAGGAAAGAGAAGGAAGAAGGGGAACTCCGAACTCTCTCTTGGCCCTGTGAAAGACAAGGACCCTTGTCATACTGTCTCCATGGGATCTTTTGGGTTCGGTTGCTAGACCTGAGCTTTTCTCCTCTTGCTTTTTCTTCATGTGTACAGAATTGAGCACATTTTTACACTTTGATAGTGGAGCAAAACAAAAAATCTGCAGCTCTTCTGGAATGTTATCAAAGCCCCATGTTTTTCTTTTTTCCCCTATCTTTCTTACTATGCTCTCTGTTCCTTCTCTCCTTGTTTTCCTCAAGGCCTCTGCAGATGTCCATTTCTAACAGCCTCCCCTTCTGAGTTTAGTTGGGACCTTGAATGTTGAGCTTTGCATTAAATCCCTCTTTGGTTCTTTGTCCATATGAAGCAGAAGCACAGTTTCATCTTGCTTCCTGGCCCAGGCATGAATTCTGCATGTATACTTTTGCTTTTGTGGGAAAGGGCTCTCACCTTCGTGCAGTGTTTGTCGAATCCTGTACTGCAGCCTAGATTGGTGAAACCTGCTGTGATCCCTGTATTTAGAAAATCAGTTTCTTTATTGCTGAAAAAAAGCTGGCTTAGCTTGGAAACATGAGACTTTGATGTATGTTGCAATTTGTTCCATCTTCCTCTTTGTCTTTTATAGCTGCTTCCACAGACAATTTTTTTGAAAGATTTTCAGGTCAAACAAATGGTGTGCAATTGTTTTGGAGCATTTTTTTCTGAGATATTGGTGCTGCACTGCTTTTCTTTAGTCACATCATTTCTCCTCCCTCCTCTCCCCACCTCTCTGGGCACTTTTATCATCAGTTTCTGCTGCCAAATCTCGCTGTTCATGTGTGGAACCTTTAAGAAACTAGGGGGTAAAAACGCCTGTTTATTGAGCCTGTGCCTCTTCTACCTCTCACAACTTGAGCATCTTGTATTTTTATTAATTCTGTCTTCTTGTAATTTTCCACTCACTACTTTGTTAACCTCATGCTATCTTGCATTTGCTTCCATGTTCTACTTTGTAGTTTGTATTACAAATGAAAGTTACAAAATATTTTAGCATTATTTAGTGAGTGGTTTCAGTCAAGTTTTTAGTCTGTTTATGTACAGCTGCTATCATACCCCCACGATCACGGATTCAGACCTCCTGACTCACTCTTGCAGGGTACCTATAGTACGTATAGTGTTGCATTTCATTGTATTAGGTTTTTAATCCACATGATTAAGTTGTCTACCTGCAAAGCCCTGATAACATGCAAGTAGCATCTCTGTAGCTCAGATTTGTAGAAATGCAGCATGCTTCATCAGTTTGTTACCAGTGGCTTTTACTTTGGATGTGCATAATTTGCAGTTAACAAATGGTGCAGATCAGCTTCTGTTGACAACTTAATCTAAAGCATGATGACACCTCAGAGTGGGCAACTAAATAATGAAATTATGGCTTTATTTCAGTAAATTAAGGCTTTAGTTCAGCAAATAGAGGTTTACCAGATTTATACAAACATTGAGTTTATTGTATTAGGATAGATATACCATAGAGCTCTGATGTTGATTCCCTGAGCAGCTACAGGACACAGTTTGCCTGACCTTATCCTTCTGCCTGGCTTGGATCTAAAGTTCATTGTGAAGCAATGCATGCTCTGTTACTATCTGGCTGCCTTTCTGCAGGACTCAAGCTGTATTTGGATTTGTTGTCCCTAACCTAAACTGCTCAACAGCTCGAACTACTGGAGGTCTTTTTTCTTATCACTGAAGAACATCCACAATGAGAAACAGGTCACTGTGCTGGGGACAGCTCAACCCTTCCTGTTCCCTTTTATGCCAGGCTCTGAGTTGGCAGCCGTCTAGATGAAAACTTGTAGTTGTGAAAGCAGTGAGGAAGGAAGACACCCTGTGCATCTCTCAGGATAAGTCTTGAGGCTCCAGAGTTTTTTGCACTGAGAACTGAATTTCTGCTGGTGTGTTCAGACCACGTGTCTTCGTTTTTATATCTGGAGGGGACAGGCAGGACACTCACAGGTAAAGCAGGCAGACCCTAGAGGCAGTAGATACCTGGAGGTTTGTGAGGTCTTCCCTAGGAGATCAAAGCCAATCCCATGATTGGGTCATGAGAGCTCAGAAGGTTGATCTCAATCCTGTTCTTAGTGCCATGGCAACAGAACAATAAATTTCCCTGCAACCCCATCTCTGCAGTTGTAAAATGGATTAATGATACAGGTCTCCTTTAACATATAATGATGAGTGAAGAATGAAGATATAATGATGAGTTGTTTAGCAGAGTCTTAATCACAGGCCGATAAATGTATAGCTTTATTGGATGCACAGGATTCTTTGAGCAAAATGTTCAGAGATGGGCTGAGAATCAGCTGTAGAGCCCTGAGTCCTTCCAGGGACACTCTCCACTGAAACTCTGATCTTCTTTAAAAAACGTAAGGATGGAAAAGGAATTAGGAGAGTATGAGTGTGCATGTTTAATATGAATATTTTCTAAGCTAATTAGGTTGAGAATGACAAATTCAGATAATTGACTGGGCACTAGGAGAGAGGAGTGCCTAAATAAATATCCTTAGTAGAAGACATGATGATAGGTTACCGAAGAGCACAGCTTCTGATGTCTCATGATCCCTTCAATGCATTGTTTCTTTTGTCACTTTACTTACGGGTTTCATGGATTTTCTATCATAGGGCCTTCTACCTCCTGATTCTCATTTCCACCCACTGGCTTCTTACTTGTCTCTTCCTTATATCATTTCAGCTGCTCTTCTACAAGTCCCAAGGGGTTTTGTTGATGATTTTTTTGTAGTTGTGGTGGTGGTGGTAAAGGATTTTTTTTTCCAAACCAGTGGCATTTCAAATGCTTCTAATAGCAAGAGTTTCCATGGAGTCAGCCAGCAGCTGCAGTGACTGATGTTGGATAATTCAGGGTGGAAGAAGAGAGCCTGAGCATGAACTGCAGGGAGGAGACAGGCTTGTGAGAAGAGCTGTGTTCTTCTTCAGGGCAAGTGCCTCTGTTGGCAAAAGCAATAGAATTGGAGGTGGCAACTCTGGTGAACAACCACACAAAGAGCTTGATAGGAGACAGAACATGAGAGTAGCATGTGCGTGAGATCCCAGAAATCAGGAGTTCGTGGAGGACAGTCATTTAGGAGGATGTGTAAGTAGAGAAATGAAAAATGAAGCATTCAAAATTGAAGCTGCCAGATACTCAGATTCTTCTGCCAAGGCAAGTGTTAGTTCAGGTGAGATGGATCTGGAAAAGTCGAGCTTCACATTGACCGTCCTTGGCATTTTTCAACAGGATTCTCCTTGTTTGTTCTTCTTTTGATTTGCACATTTAGTTTGTCTAAGGTCTTTGTCACTGGAGGCAAAGACATGTTCAAATCTGATCCTCAGTTCCTTCTTCTTGGACTCTGGACAAGGGAATATAGCCTACCCCCTATCTCTAGCATAAACTAGTATCTCTCCCATTTACACTCTCCTTACTGTTTTGTCTTCTAGCCTCCTCCTCCTGGCTGCTCTTGAAATGCACAAACACAGCTGAGGGTAACATCCTGACAAAAAGCCAGGAAGCCCTTCCAGACATAGCTTCCACTCCTTCTTTTAAGGCCTCTTTTTGCAGCCAGACTATGTGACACGTGGCTGAGGGCAAAGAGTGGCTTTATGTAATTGCAATTAACCTACATCCCTTCTGCTGGTAAGCAGCTGTAGGTCTGCTTCCCATGTTTTCCCAGCACTGTTCCATCTTTCCTCAGCATATGCTAAGTTCTGCACTGAAGTTCGTTCCCAGGATTTCTGGCCCAGAGTGATCACAGTGAGATAAATCACTTGCTACTGATCAGCTGAGTGTCAAAGTCTGGAAGAGGTACATGTTGTCCCATTCTCTCTCTCTGGGATTATATCAAGGACTTCAGCTGACCCTGAAGAGCCAGGGCTGGTTGCCTTTCCTATGAAGCCTTTCAGCAGCAATTTGTCTGCCTGTAAAAACCTGGCACTCACATCACTGTGTTTTTTGTGCTCTGGTCAGTTAGCTGAGCTGCTGCAGGTCATTGAACAAATCCATTGAACAGATGGATTCCTGAGGTACAAAAACCATCAGGGGACTGGCTGCCCCTGCCCAGGCCTGCTGGCGTTACAGCCTTTAAATCAATTACAGCCAACCCTACCTCCAAGTCTCCAGAGATGATGTGGAGTGTAATCACCCTGCAAGGGTGACATTCCTGCCAACCAAATTCACTGCTGGACATGGCTGTGATTATCATGAAGAACAGTTTGGCAGACCTGCGAGAGAGGAGTTACAGTAATCAATGTGCATCACCCTCAGAACGTGATAAAGGTTTCAGCTGTGGCATACTCTGCTCTTCTTTGGACCACTGCAGACCTCAGCAGCTGACTCGTTGAGTTCTGTGCTACTGTATACTGATGAAATGCAGGTGTTAAAACTCCTTTTTTTTTTTTGGAAAACACTGGACCACCTTTGTACCTGTGCAATACCTAGGGATTTAGATAATTTTGTGACACCTGTGAGCTTTTTCTGAAACACCTTGTTTCTTAGCTTGTACACACTTGATAAAGACCGTGGGCCAGACTGCCTGGTATGTAAATTTCCTCTAACTATTGTAGAAGACTGTGTAATAATCCCCACTGCATTCCTTCTAATTTGCATGGCACTTCAGAAAGATGCCATTTAAGGCAAGCTATGCCAAAAAAATATTTAAAATTTTGACAAAGAGCTGTATATAAAACAAGATTCATCTCTGTCATAACTTCAGCTGTTTCACCCAGCTGAAAAGATACCCTACTTCCTTTTTCCTTTGTACTTGATTGTGCACTGACTAATGTATCCTGCTAGCTGTGGAAAACTGTGGATTTAAAATACTAACACAGGGATAAAGGAAATAAAGGAGCAATGTCAGTGTTCTCTCCTTTTAAACACAGCACTTAGCAGGATAAACAGGAGGAAAACTGTCACACCATTAAAAGACAGAGATCAATCCTGCAGTCTAGAACCAGAGGAAGGCAGCCTCCTCCTTTGACCACCGCTGGCTTTTTGAATCCATGCTCTCAAAGCAGTTTATTGATAATAAATAAATTCACATAAAGAATAATAATAATAAACTCAGCCCCCCAGAATCATCTTCACTGGTGATGCTCCTTCCTAACCTTGGGGAAGGATGGTGAGGATGAACAGCTCCACAGTCCTGCAGCCCCCCAGGCTGCTTTCCAAGGACAGGGTTCTTCCCATCATTACCCAGGGAGTGATCTGTGTCACAGTGACACCACACTATCTCTCTGAATGACTGGCACAGGCGAGCCTCACTCTTAACACTCACACAAATCCATTTTATATATAGTTTTAGTTATGTTACTGCCTGTACACACTGCATTATCTTGCTGACTCATATTTTTTGTGTCTCAGACTACAGCTGTCCTATTTTCTTTTGCTAACTCAAGATATATAAGGAGTGAAGATGTAACAATCATGGTGGTGACAGCTTTTAAGATTGTATCACAGCTCTCTAAGACATTTTCCCTGGAACTCCAGCTCTTGGTCATACTTAAATACGTAGCAGTCTCAACTAATTTATCATTTGAATTACTTCTGTTTACACAGTTACAGGAGGGAGAAAACAAAAATACATGACCCTCAATATTCCCACACCAGAGGCAGCTATTTATTTTTTCTCTGGTTTTGTGATACTTTAATTAACCTTAGTGATGAGAAGGGGAAAAGGAGAGCTGATTTGTTCTTTCAGAACATTTGGATTTGGTATTTCTGCGGATGTGGTGTTCTTTTCCTTTGGTATGTGTGCAGTACACGCATATGAAAGATCCTTATATATGTTCATAGCAGCTGTAGCAGGTATTTATAACACTCATGGGGAGTCTGTGGAGGATGCAATATTGATCAAGGGATGCTCCACAGCCCTGGAAATATGTTTTAGTGAATGTTTCATGCTGTAGGATTTGTGGTTATATGCTCCTGTTGACATGAGCTGAACTGCAACTGTCTGGAAATATCTTCCAGAGCAAAGCAATGGGTTGCTTCCAAAAGGACATGCAAAATCTTGCTAGATCAGAATCTTAATTTTTCAACATCAAGACAGTGAACAGTCAAAATTCAAGAGGTACTTGACATTTGATAGTTATGTTAGGTAAGTGCACTGTTGTGTCTCATCACTACCCTACTCTTTCAGGTTCAGAGATCCCATTTTTTGTCACAGATCTGGTATGAATGCATAATATAATTCCCATTATGTCTCTCCCTGTCAGGTACTGTGGTATTTTTTAAACCTGTTTGAATAATCACTATTTTTAACTTTTCCTCACAGGAGTGTTTGCATTTGGACTTTTTGCCACTGACATCTTTGTAAACGCTGGCCAGGTTGTGACTGGTAACTTGGCTCCATACTTCCTGACGGTGTGTAAACCCAACTACACTGGGAACGACTGCAGGGCCCACCACCAGTTCATAAACAACGGCAACATCTGCACTGGGGATGTGGAGGTGATTGAAAAGGCAAGGAGATCCTTTCCATCCAAACATGCTGCTCTGAGCATCTACTCAGCTTTATATGCCACGGTGGGTGCCAGTGATGACTGCTGACTTTCGTGAGAGGTTTCTGTATGTGCATCTAGATGGGGACGTTTTTCTTACAATGGATTTTTGGAGAAAAAGAGTGGTTTTTTGGGAGCTGCTTTCTTCTTCATCAGTAGAGGAAAATCGCCTTCTCTCTCTCGTTTTACCAGTCCTGGTATAAGCAAATGAAGTGCTTATTGCTTTTGAGGCATTGCATATTCCGGAAGTATGAGGTCCTAAACTTGTCTTTACTGCTGATTTTCTCATTCGAGATCATCTTCTCCCTGGCCCTGTCTGATGAGCTTTAGAATGAAGTTGATCCTTAAACAGCTTCTGGATTGCTACTTTTGTTCACATGCCTGTTGAACATATTTAAATTGTGCCCCTTCAATGGGAGGCTGAACTTAAGACTGAATTTTGCTGCCCTCGTTTATGACTTGAATGCCCTAATGAAAGTTAGTGCCAGAATTTTGTTGATATCACAGGGATATGCACCCCAGTTGACATATTGACAAGGTGACACCACTGTACTGTCAGGAAGGAAACTTATCTGTCTTAAAAGGTCTCATGAGACAGATTGACTGCTCTTTTGTGTTCTCTGGTTAAAGTTTCTTTAATGCTTTAAAATTGATCCAAGAATCTTCCTAACAAAGCAGAAAATCTTGTTGGTTTTGCCATTAAGATCCAAGGGCTTAACCTGGTTCTGATCTTAAAATGGATTAACCTAAGTCGTTTTTCCCCCAACAGCCTGACTCAGCGTAGGAGCAGACTCTGTCTGTAGGTCATTAGTATTTAAGTAAAGTGTTAAAATTACTAATGACAGGGTATTTACTGAATATTTTACCCTGTGCTCTTGGTAGTAGATATATATAAAACACCACATTATAACTGTGAGATGAAGAGTCCACCCGCTACTGTTTCAATATCCGTTTGCACTGAATGTTGTGTGAATAATGATGGAGATACAAACTGCAACTCCTTTGGTCGGGATTTGTTGGAAACTGTGTGGAAAGCCTTTAACATTTTGTGCACATTACTTCTGAACAATATGAAGCCATGGGTGAAATAGAGTTCATAATATGGCCAGTCTCTTCGCGAACGAAGAACCGGGGAAGGTCTTTACACCTTCCAGCCTGCGCACTGGATTTTTTAGGTGAGACACAGTGTGCGCGGAACTGAGCCCACCCTTTAATCCTGAGGTTCATCTGCCGGGGCCAAGCACGCTTGGACGGTGGCAGCGAGGTCCTCAGGACGTAGATGGATTGCCTTACAGGGCTAACGAGCTCCATCTGCCCGGGGAGGGGCCCTGGTGGTGAAGTGGTTAAAGCACAGCGCTGTGAACGCTGAGACCCGGGTTCAGAGTTCATAATAAACTCAGCATGGCTGTAGCAGCTGTTTGCATTATGATAAACTCAGAGCTGGAATTTCCAGGGTCAGACTTGGTCCTGTTTCTGTCCTAGGCTAATTACACCTTTCATGGACTTTTCTTTCACATCCTCCCTTTTTTCTAGGTAGGCAAGTCTTCTACAAATAGGCTGACTGAAGGGGAATGCTGCTTTTCCTTCCTGAGCTTAAGTCCCAAGTAGTTCAATGTTTCTGAGCTCTGGTCTTCCCAGAGTACCTGTGATTTGTCTGCATTCTCCTCACGTGGGAAGATACCAAGTAGAGCCAGGACATGGAGCCATTTCTGAGTCACAAGGTCTTGAAAGTCTGCCCTTAGGGCATTTCAGCCTACAGTCCAATTTCAGCCCAGTGCTCTGCATCTAGAACTAAAAAGCTGTTATCACTTGTCTTTTCTCTGCCTGTCAGCTGAGAATAACATGAGCATTACACAAGAAATGCATTGTTCAGACCTAGCTTTGCTTAATAACTGTGCTGCGCACAAATTTTTGAGAAGTCTCTTGCTGATTCTAATATGCATGATAATGTGGGCTGCTGAATATAAAACACAGGGCATTTGCTTAGTAATAGGTGTATTTTGCATAAAGCTGAAGATTTCAGCCATGGTGCAAGGAAAGTAAAATGGGTTGAACATGAGTAGGCAGGAAAATGGAATCAGCGCAGATGTTGTCTGTCATTGTATAAGTATCTGTTGAGATCTGTGTGTCTCCTGCCATCACCAAACCTCAAGTGTACTCTGCAGATGTTTCTGTACTCATTTGTTCATTACTCTGCTACTGAAAGCACTCCTACTGTGATTAGTTTGGCTTTGTGGAGTTTTGGTGTGTTTTTTTTTTTCTTTTTTAATAATCTGGGGTTTATATTTAATCAAGAAGGCCTTTTTTTTTTTTGGTCACCTGTTAAAGAGGCTGAGGAGAACCCAGAGCATCGCTTCTGTGATCTCTGCAAGCAGAGATGCATCTTCTATGGGTTAAGTAGGGGAAAGAGAAAATGGCTGGCAGCCTTGACTTCCATCCTTGCCAAAAAAAATTAAAATGGCATCTAATTAAATTTTATTAGTCTCCTAGAATTATCTCAGGAAGAGGTGGCAACCTCTGTACATAGTGCAATTTGCTGAGCACTTAGAAACACAATTTTAAGTTTCTTTTCGAAGCGAGAGTGATTGGCTAGAAAAAGAGTCTTGGTTGCAGCAACGGTCCAGCTGATAGGATGTCAGTCCTGGTTTCAGTGTCGTTCCAGGTGCGTTGGTCTGACCCATGAGATGTTTGGGGCCCTGGGGGCACCACCCAGGCTTGGCAGGATACCTTTTTATGGACAGGTTTCTCACTTTCTATGTAAATTAGTTACCGTGCACAGTCTATTCATTTAGGTCTTTCTGGGACAGAGAGCTTTGGAGGTCTCTAGTGGTCCTAATTCCACCCTATAGTCCATGCTCACTTCCTGCCACTCATTCCTGTACTTGTGCTGTACTTGTGGTTCTTCCTCATGGAAAAATGCTGCCCTATCTCTGCTGCCCCCCTTCTCCAGCCAAATTTTTTTCTCACAGTGTCCTAATACCAACAGTCCTTGGTTATTATCAAGAATTTTGTCTGACATTACCAACACTTCTCCAGCCATCCAGCTATCAGTATTTGAGACGTGGGCTGTTATTTAGGCAAGAAAAATAAGTTTCTAAGGCCGTTCATTAAAAAACAGCGCTTATTAGACAGCATGAGTTCTTGGGAACAATGTTTCTGTTAAGCTCAGAGGAGCTTAGTCTAAGTGCTGTTTGTCAAGGCTGAGGTCTAACCAGCAATTCTCAGTGAGGGGGCTTGTGGGGTGGAAGCTGTGCCACCACAATCCATCCCATGACTAAAGTCAGCTTCTCTGCGCCTCCACACCTAGACATGAAACTTTGAACGTTTGGGAAATGCTGAATAGCACAGAACACTACAGCAAATAGCTTCAGCAGACCACATCAATTCAAGGCCTTGGCATTTTGAGCAGCTGCACAGAGTCAAAGCAGTTGTCAAACAGCAGTTGTCAAAGGCTCTGCTTCTCTCTTGTTGTAGAAATCTCTGTGGTTAAAAAAAAAGATTGTAAAGCCTGCAGGACAGAATTTTCCAGTATTGGTATGAAATTCTGAACTTTCTAAGGAAAATAAAACTACTACAAATCTTCCCAGTTTCTGCTGAAAGGACAAGACAGACTTCTTCCACTTTTCATTTCTCATTATAGGTACAACATACATTCTAAATATATGCATATATTTGCATATACATGTAAGTATATATAGATGTCTATTTTAAACTTGTAAACAAAAAAGCCTCCTTGCCTGTCCCTGCTTTTCTCTGTCTGCAAAAAATGGAAGAGGAATCACATGGGTTGAATGCTACTATCGCTCATTGAACATGGCTAAATACATTGCTTGGGTGTATAAGAGCATGGCACTGGTAAGAGCACAGCAAAGAAGCTGAATAGATAATTTATGTAGTTAAATCATACGTCGTTTATTTTTTCTTTTTTTTTTTATATTTACTTCACATCTTTTTATATTCACTTCTCTGTTTCTGACATGTAGAGTTTTGTAAATAAATAATTTTACTTTATATTTAGTATATGGGAAATTTTCAGAAACATCTGCTGTGTGAAGGAGACTTTGACTGAGATTTTGGTCTCTTGCAGAAAGTTTTGAAACCATGCTCTAAACGTGGGTAAACACACTGTGAGAATCCTAAAAAATATGTTGGCTGTAGGGAACCTGGACAGTAAAAATCAAGCCACATTGACTGGGAACCCTGACCTTAATGGAGAAGCTCTCCCAGTTATTTCTGAGCTCAGTGTGTGATTTAGGGATGAACTGGAGCCTACCTCCTGGGAAAACAGTTTGTCTTGTTTAAAACCCTCCTCATGAGGGTTTTGACAGATTTCCCTTGGCAATCTGTTTGCATGGTTAATTACCCTCATTGCTAAAAATGTTCTCTTTACTATAAGTTTACATTTTCTTGCCAAGACATGTGAAACTTCAATTACAGATACTTCCCATCTGTGACAAAGACAAGCCTCCCATGTGGGTAACCCAAAGATCCAGCTTTATCTCATACCCGTAAGGAAACAAGTATATGTGGGTTGCTCTGTAGCTGTGGTTCACAGCTGGCCCAGCAGGATTGTTTTTACTTTAAAGAGGTGGTGGATTTTCCTTTGGATTATGTAAATTGCAGTGGTGCTTTGGTGGGAAACAGGGAAGCAATTCAGCTCCCTATTCCTCAGTTGGATTGACTTCTGTTAGAAGTACACAGGGTGAAAGGGTGGATGGTAATTATTCACACAGTGTCAATGATTCTTCTTTTCCTGTTGTTTCCAAAGAACCTTAAAGTGGGTTTTGGTGATAGGTGCAGCTCAACCTGCCAGCCTAAATTGGGGGTGGTTGCCACCTAGTGCTTATTGTTAGCTATCTTTCCAAGCCATGTGCTGCACTCAGATTTAGGAGTGAAAAACAAAGCAAGCAGGAAACTCGAATAGCTTAGTCTCATTCCTAGTGCTTTTACACAGCATAATGTTCCAGTTCATAAATCAAATTGGCCTTTAAATTAAGTGCTTAACAGTACATTTAAGGGCAGAAGACCTCTCTTCCCCAGGAAGAGATCTGGCAAATTCAGCAGTCCAGCTCTGCAGTTTCTGGGCAGGTGAAAGTGTCCTTTTGACCCAGAGGGAGTCATATCTGTCTTCCCCAGTCAGTTTTTCTGGCCTGTCTCTTTCCCTTTCAAAAGGTGGTTTCTGCATCCCTTTCCTTCTTCTGAAGTTATGTATTGTCATCGGTTAAGGGCTAATATTTTTAACAGCAGCCAGTAGGGGAACACCGATATAGGTATATATTTGATAGAGCAGTCTGGAAGAAAGGAAAAGAAATACAGACAGAGAGAAAGTTAAAAGTACAGACAATACAGCAGTACACAGGGGTATGTGAAACGCAATGAACCGAGTGAACTTTAGAAGGGATATAATTTTTTTTTCTTGACCCCAAAACTATGAGCCAGACCATAATGACCTCTGTATAGCTGGCTCACCCAGAAAGAGACAGGCATTCAAATACAGTAAAATAATTGCTCATGTTTGCCAAGTAGATTATAGAGTGTGAAACTAGCTGTGCTGGTAGTTGCATTTGGAAGCAGCAAGCCAAGCCAGCTAGGGATCAGATTAGGAAACCTGAGCATGACACTTTAAGAAGCATTTTTCAAATGTACCTTCATGATTCTTTTTCATGTATGAGGAGCAGTGTGTCATCTGGAGACATTCTGGGCAAACATGTTCGATGTATTTGCTTTTATTATCAAAGCTCTGGAAATCATTCAGGCATCCATACTTGATTGCTGAAAAGGATTTTATTGAATTGTTTTGCCGTCAGGCTTGGTTTGCTTAATCTTTGTTATTTTGTGGCTCTGGAATTAATGACTGGCTGCTAATTGGGACCCACATGGTTTTGCTCTCTGTCAAAAGGTGTAAAAAATACACGAACTGCCAGAAACATGTAGGGTTAATTAAAAAATACTCAAAGAGCAGTGAAAATTCATGCTCAAGAATTACATTTTCAAAATCAACTTTGTTTTGAAAGAAACCTTTCTCATATTGTGTGTTTCCTTCCATCTTTCAGAGAAAATGTCTGTAATGGTTTTTCACAATGTTCTCTGTTTCTTAAACTTAACACCACTTAGGAAGATGGAGTAGCTAGTTGATACAGATGCTATGCACTCAGATCTTCTGTACATTACAGTTTCTGCAGGAGTATAAGCATAAATTCCTGGCTCCCTTTGCAGACATTTAGTCATGTGCATTCAGAGTGCCACCTTACGAGCACAAACAGAGCCTACAAGCTCAGGAGAAGTCCTGTATGTAAATAATGGGATATTTGACATCCTGAAACAACACCGTTTAACAGTATCTGTTTTGTACTCTTAAAAATGTTCTCTGAATTACCTTCTTCCATCTCTGAAACCTCTTCTTCCATTTCCCAGTGCTTTTTTAAACGAAACATGGATTTTGTCACATCCTTGCGGATTTAGGATTTTTCTGTGTGGGAAGGATGCATTTCTGCCAGAGCCTCTTTTCACTTTTGGTTTGTTCTTCCTTTCAGATGTACATCACAAGCACAATTAAAACAAAGAGCAGCAGGCTAGCCAAGCCTGTGCTGTGTTTGGGTACCCTGTGTGCTGCCTTCCTCACTGGGCTGAATCGAGTTTCTGAGTATCGGAACCACTGTTCGGATGTGATCGCAGGCTTCATCCTGGGCAGTGCTGTAGCCTTGTTTCTGGTAAGTCCAGCAGTCTTTGTGAATTCCTTTAAAAAATACCATAGTATTAAAAAAAAAAAATTAAAAGTGCTATTTTCTTGTGGCATGCAAGATCTAATTCTAGCCCCATCTACCACAGGGAATCAGAGTATGAAGTCAGGAATAGTAATTGATAAGGCTAATATGGTGACATTTGTACATTTTATGTATTTCAGTTTTAAATATTTCAATTCTTTTAATTGCTGTACTTGTTCTTACTTGACCTGTTCTGGAAAATGCTGTAAAGAAGGTGTAGTTTTCAACTAATATCAAAAGGAGGGCATGCTTGAGACTCCTCTAACACCCTCGTGTTACAAAACCTCACTATGTATCTTGTATCTGGCAAAAATATTAGATAAAGGGTGTTGTCTGGGGCTCTGAGCAGTGGTCCTGGTTCTCCATTTTGTTTTGGACCATAAAAGAAGTGCAGTAGAAAGAAAGGTCAGGATAAACTCCCTGGGAGACAAAATTACCTCCCTTTGCATCATTTTGGAGTTAAGCTGAAATTGTTTACTCCCTAAAGGATAACTAAATGTATTAAAATATATAAAAGGCCTTCCCACAGAATGTAGGGAACAGCATCTTTCCAGACCTGGAGTGTACCTGGCTCTCCCGTGGGCTCTGTGGTTTAGGTGATTTGCTTGGTGAGAGGTCTCTTGCTGAGAATTTACTCGCACAGCAAGCAGTCTAGGTCATTCTTGTTATTACCAAGAAACATGCCTGGTTCCATATAATCAAAATATGCTTCAAAACTATCCACTGCACAGCAGCAGACACTTTATCCTGTAATCAGGAGGGATTAGGTTTCAAAGATCCCTTAAATCTGGATTGTCCTGTCACTGATTTCTTTTTTCCTGTTCTGTACTTTAAAAAGCGACAACAACAAACCTCCACATGTCAGTTGTTTCCATGTTCCCTTTAAATAAAAAGATGTCTACAACCTCTGACCTGAATCTCTTTGGCTTTAATGTAAATTATTTATCTGGTTCCGTTGGGAAGGGCAGTTTAAATCTTGTCTATGCGATATGAGTCTGTCGCCCCAGTGCTGCTGGAAGTATGAAGGAGCGATGCTAAATGATGTCATCTAGAGGTGAGGGAGACGCAGCCATCCGCTGAGCTGTTTTCACTGCTTGGAAGTGACAAAGTCAGAGTCTGAAGGGAGTATTTGGCCAGTAAAGTGTATCATTCAGGTAGTCTGTGGTTCTGGGAAGATAAAGCATACGTGGGAGTCTCTGCTGTGTGAAATGTAAAATGTAAAAAGGCCGAGAATGGTTCATCACCTCAGATTAACCCACTTCCCAAAGCAGTCCATCACACTCAGACCCACTGTAGCCCAAGGCTGAGACAGGTGATGCCTTGAACCAAAACCTACATTAAATTCTTTTCAGAAGTTGGCAGTGTTAACTCCTCTGAGTTTTCCTGGGGACAGAACACACCAACCTCACTTGTTTTTTCTACATTACACAGGGGATATGTGTTGTCCATAACTTTAAGGGCACTCACGGAGCTCCTTCTAAACCGAAGCCTGAAGACCCACGAGGAATGCCACTAATGGCTTTTCCAAGAGTGGAAAGTCCTCTGGAGACACTGAGTGCACAGGTACTGTAAATCCTCTCACCCAGACCCACTACCAACCACATTTTCTGTTACAGCAGAGTAAAAACTAGTTGTATACGTAACCATACATTCCTAACATTGAGCCCATTGAACAGAGTGAATCTGAATCAAGGGAGAATTTGTTTTAAGGCATTTATTTCTGGAACTAGCAAATGCTAGTAGATCTTCTGCCCCTGTGCACATCCACTGCTAAAGAAGTAGGATTTCACATGCCTCTGCATATGGTTTGTGATAAAAAAGCCTTCACTTAGAATAGAAAACTGAGAGACAAGCAAAAATAATTCTGCCTAACTACATTCCAGAATACTTTTGGGATGTCTGAAAGATTTAATCTCTCCTGAGAATAAACTAAGCTGTCCAGAAATGTATTTATAGAGATTAGTTTTTAACCTTATTAGTGTTCAGTATCTTATATAATGATAAAAATCTCATACTGTTTTCTATCTCTAAGTCATCAGAAGAGAAATAATAGCATTCTTTCAGGTCTGCAAAAAAAAAAAAAAAAGGCAAGTGAGAGCATAACTATTGATAGTGTTTTTATTAAAACTACCACCACTTAAAGTGGCTTATGTTGGCATAATCATATCCAGCCCTTTCAACACAAACAAGTAAATTCCACCTGCCAAACAGGTTCTGGGAATGAGGATAAACTGTAGTTTATCAGTTATTTTAAACACCCTGGTGTCATTTATTTGTTCTTTAAATTGTACTTCCTTTATTAGATGGCCTGTCATTCCTCTGCACATGGCCTATAGCAAGATCAGTAGCAACTTCCGTTAAACTCTTTGCCAAATAACTGAAAAGAGGAATTAAAAAAAAAAAAAAAAAAGTGGAAAAGACACTTTTCTAATGCCTGGAAATATTTTGCTTAATTGAAAAGTCAGTTTTGATTAGGCAAAGATTTACTTGAAGACTTCCCATTAAATCTGCAGAACTGTGTGCACTAAATGTTCTGTTGGTGGTTTGCAGTTCATAAACTAAGCACTGCTTAAATGTCCACATTGTGTCATGCATGACAAAAGGGCTGAGCAGGGAAAAATATAGACTGTGAGAAAAATTTAGTCAAGTCAGCTGTGTATAGATGCTGAGCTGTGAAGTGCAGGTAGCGACCAGACCTCAGCTGTTTGATGTCCACTATAAATCAACAAGGTAATTTTCAGGGTATCAGTCTCTACAGGACCATACATATACAATGTAGGAGTAGATAGGGGAAAATGTGATCCTATTATGAAGATAGTGTAAACAGGTCTTTGGGAGCACATGCTTCTTACTGTTTCTTCAGGTATAGGAGGTACCATGTCCTTGTCTGTGCAGATTTCTGCATCTATCCCCGGTCTCGTTTTGCCTTGCACCCACACAAACCCTGCAGAAGCGGCATGATCCAAGGATGACTTAGTACTGCCACTGGAGTCCTGGACATTGGCTCCCAGGAAGGTTAAATCTACACTGCCACCTACAGAGGACTTCTTGTTGCTGCATGTGTTTTGGTATATTGACCCCACCTCCATATGGTTTTAAGCACCCATCATGTGAAGCCAAACCACAGTCTTCTAGGCTCTCCTGAGGGCAGACCCACTGTATTGGTTATGTGACTGTATGAAGCACTTGAGCCTCTGCAGACCTGTCCCTCTGGACAGTTCCCAGTCCCTTTTGAAAGTCTGTGTTGAAAACATCCCACTTTGTTTTTCCAGCCTGTTAACAGCAGGGCTGGAGTTCAGTGATTCCCACCACACGCTCAGGACAGGCAGCAGTCAGTTTCGCAGTTTTAAAGCCCTGGGTTAACTGAGCAACAGGTTTTATTAGCAAAGGGTTTTCTCATTCATTTTGCACACCAAAATATGTAAATGCCAAACTGTTTATGAATGTTCATGTGTTTGCCTTTTCCTCTTTGCAGAACCACTCTGCCTCTATGACTGAAGTAACCTGAGATGGGAGATTGGCAGCCGGAGCTATTTTTTACTACCCTCCAGTACAACAGTCCAAGACACACAGTTACTAAATGTCTAACTGTGATGACTAGTATTATGTTATGTCTAGTTAGAGGCTAATGTTTTGTACTTTTTTTGTATGAGGAAGTGATGTAGCTTGCCCTGATTTTTTGTCAGCTTTAATATTATTATGCCAGACTTTAAAAGCAAAATGGAAAAAGGACAAAAAAAAAACCTTTTCTTGTTTAAAGTGTGCACTGAGGAACTACATCTATGGAATTGTTGATGTTGTTATGTGATATTTGTACACTTTTTTCTTTTCAGTTTTGAATTTATATATCTTGAAAAAAGAAACATTCACTTTTACCTTTTCTTACCGTAAGAAGTGCTTCTACCACTGAGTCAGATTCTGTTCTCAGTAAGATCAGCATAGATCTGAAGTAATCTCATATATTTAATTGATATTAAAATAATGGTGATCAGGAATCTAACCTGAATGATACTATTAACAAATAGCAAAAATCCATCCTTGATTCAGTGGGCTACTTAGGTGTTCCCTAGGGATGCAGTTTAGCCACCCAGTTTCCAGACTACTTGGCAGACTTGAAGCATGTTCTTAAGCACCTCACTGAATCAAAGCCTGATTGTTCTGGTGTGGGTGATTGTGCTGGTTATTGAAGAATAACTAAAACAACATCCTCAGTCTGCAGTATAGACAGACTGGACATGAAAATTTATAGTAGTAGCTGATAGCATGTGAGCTGACTATATCATCTCCCTAGATCCTCATTCCTCCCCGAGGCCCAGCCGAAGCTCCCTGTGAAACCTGGCTTCAGGAATTGACTATGGGGATATACAGCCACCACTGTGGAGCGGAGGCTGCGCTCTGAGTGTTTCATCACTTCATCATAGATTTGTGGGGTAACTAGTGACACTGTTGCAAAGGAAAAGTGACACCACTTCTCCAGTGGGGAGGCATTCCCTGGCATTCCAGCTGGCATAACAAAGAAGCCAGTTTTGCCCCCCAAAGTGTATTTTTTCCCTGAGGGGCTTTGGCAAGTAAAAAAAAAATAATTAAACAAAAGAAAATTAAAAGCTGACAGCCTGTAGTAGCAGTCTGCGTTTTTGTAAATTCTGCCGTACAGAATTTATATCAAAACTGCTATTTTACAATTGAACAACTTTGCCTAAGGACTTTAAAGACAATTAATTGAGTATGGGTTGGGGGTGGGAGGGGAAGAACAAAAAAAGCCCATTTACAATGGCTAGAACTGGGGCAAAGGCTTCATTACACGATTTTTCACTGTTTCTAGGATTTTCCTGCATCTCATTCTTTTAGCATGGTGATAACTGCTGTGTGTCTCCTTTAAAGAATGGAGCCTCTGTCTGTACTTCTACTGGAATGTTTACCTCACATTTCCATGTTGGTTCTTCTTGGGTTTTTTTTGTATATTTTTTCCAAAACAGAAGTGAAAAAAAATTATCAAAAAAGCAAACACGTAGCCTGGTCTCTGTCATTTGCCTGGGATACAAAGAAAATCTGGGATGTCTGTTTCTGTCTGGTCTTGCAGAGTTTCTTCCAGGTTGGTATTTTCTTCTGACTCTACAGATGTCTGCTTCAGGCTTAGGAATATCAGGATCAGACCTGACCATGAGGAGCCGTTGATAAGTTTCTGGGTCCCTCACTGCAACTTGGATCAAAATTCCAGGGGAAAAAACAGTTCTGAACTTCTCTGCTAGGAAATATCCTCCCAAGTAGGCTTTTTCACACTTCTGTCTGATCTTCTCTACTGGTCTGAAACCAACAAACTGCATGCCCAGAGCTTTTGCTTACTTATTTATTTATAATTTAATTCAACAGAAGTTAGGTACTTTTGAAAGGCCAAGAATTAAAAAGTGATTAATCCCCTAGAAGTCTTACCCCTTCCATGGCACAGGTGTTCTGTTCAAGACTTTGACCTCATTTCAGAGTTCTGTTAAGAAGTTTTGCATCTCAAATGTCTGATCCCCTTCCATTGTGCTACAGTCCCTGGGCTGATGGAAGCATGAGGTTTGCACCTCAAAAGGAACTAAGTATATGCAATAAGGGAAATGGGAATTTGACTCAGACAATTGCTGTCATGCTCCTTTCTTGCGTAATTTTCAGTCTTCGGTTTTTCCACTCTGTTCTGATCACATTACATAGAGCTATCAAAGTTACATTCTGGGAGAGACAGAGAAGGGGCAGATAAACATGAAGTACAACTACCACTGAAAGCGTTTTCTTGATAATGAGTCTTAAGAAGAAACAAGAAGGTGCAAATGTTTCTGGTTTTTGAACGGAAGAAGACAATAATTTCATGAAAAAATACTTCTAATTTATTGCTGCCAAGCAGCATCTGAAGCAGCCAGGATGACACAGATGTAGCCATTTGTCACACTGTGATTTCCCATAAGGTGCAGAGGAGGGATTTGGGAACCTTCAGCCTTTCACAGTGACCAGTGAAACATCCCCAGCTCCCTCACATTCATCCCACAATGGAATGTGTAACACTACATTTTTACTATTCTGTAGTTCCCCAAAAGCCAAAAGGAGAAAAGAATGGGTTTCTTAAATTTCTTCAGAGCTATGAGAAGGAGGAGCACTTGAGAAGTTTGCTCAGTCAAGAAACTGAGCACTGTGACACACAAAAACAGCAGTGTCTCAGTGTCTCAGTGTACTTGGGGTGTCTGCTGAAAGAAACTGGGAGAGCAAGGGTTGAAGGCAGTGAGTGGTGTAACCAGGACATTTCTGGATCATTCCCAGAAAAAAAAAAAAAAAATCACACATTGACTCTAACCTCACTAGAACAACCTGTTTTATCAAAATTCATGAAGTACCACAGATTTCTCAGGCTGTTGAATTTATTTGTTTTCCTCACTTCTCTGCTGCCTCCTCTGATTAAAAGCAGACCTGCATCATCAGTTAGATGGGAAGGAAAACTGAACATACAGGTAACATGTAAAAAAACCTAACAGCTATTAGAAGGAGACACAAAAATTAAAAAACAGTGTTTCTGACAGACACCGAAGAATTCAAGAAGGTGCTTTGATGGCAGGTGTGTATATAGGGCTGTTGGAGAGTTCACCATTACTGAGTTAGATCTCACAATTTTACCTGGCCCTATTTTCATGTAGCAATTTTGAGCAGCACAAGCAGTTTAAGATGACACTTCTAATAGCTTTTACAAACCTTATTGCTGACAGGGTCTTATTTTCAGAGAAAAAAAAAAAATAGGATGGTTCACCTTCCCCCTCCTTCCCCAGCTTCGTCAGCCCTGCTGGTCATGGTGGCAGAGCTGAATGTGGTTCCTGATACAGCCCAAATGCACACACAAAACTCCATCAGACAGTGCAGAAGTGAAGACAAGTTTAGGAGGTTGTCCTGATCCAACCCCAGCCAGCCCCACCCCAGTCAGCTCTTTGCTCATTCCCCCACCAGTGCAATCAGGGAGAGAATTGGAAGGGTAAAAGCTGGGAAACATGTGGGTTGAGATAGTGACATTTTAAGAGGTAAGAGAAAAGCCACACACACAAGCAAAGCAAAATAAAGAATTCATTCCCTGCTTCCCATGGGCAGGCAGGTATTCAGCCATCTCCAGGAGAGCAGAGCCTATCACATGTAGTGGTTACTTGGGAAGACAAACCCCATCACTCCAAACATCCTTCCTTTTTTCTCCCACTTTATGCACTGAGCATGTCCTACAGTCTAGAATATCCCTTTGGCCATTTGGATCACCTGTCCTGGCTGTGTCTCCTCCCAACCTCCCATGAAACCCCAGCCTCCTCCCCAGTGTGGAAAACAAGCCCTGGTCAGCAATAACAAACACATCTTTTTATTATCAACCCTGTGTTCAGCATCTGCACAAATGCAAAACACAGCCCCGCACCAGCCACTGGGAAGAAAGGTACCTCTACCCCAGCCAAAACCAGGACAGGGACTGTGGAGTTAATCCCCCCGCCGTTTATCCCCACTGGAGCCAGAGAGATGCCAGGGAGCAGCTGGCAGTGCCACACCCCTGGCCTGCAGGGGAGAAAGGACAGAACAGACAACAGTGAAAAAGCCGAGCACGACTCAGAGAACTTTTATTAGTGAAATTCACACATTTCAGTGTCAGGAGGGGGCTCTGCCGCTGCTCTGCAGGAAAGCTCCGTGGTGGGACTCACTGCTTCCAGATGATCTTCAGGTTCGGCGGCAGCTCTGCGGCCGCGAGTTCATCAAACTTGGTCACATCCTTCACGGGAGTGCGGTAAAAACCCAGCACGTCCCCGGCGCAGCGCATCAGGTGGAGCTGGGAATTGGGCACGGCGTGTCCCAGCTCCACCGCCAGCCGCGCCAGCAGTTGGAACTTCAGCCCGTTCTCCTGCAGGGGCGTCTGCTCCCAGTCCTGGTGGAGGGATGACCCAAAAACCTCCCTGACGTGGGACTCGAGGCGGACCTGCAGGTCCTGCGGGGGGAGATAACTCCGGCTGCGCGGCGGGGGGCACAGCAGGCTGGGCTCGCTCCTCTCCACCTTCTCAGGGATCCCCTTTCCCACTTCCACTTCCTTGTCCTCCTTCCTGCTGGCACCAGAAAAGAAGCGTTTTCAAACTCTGGGCTGGCTCAGAGCGAGTTTCTGTTCAAGGTGTTTTAAAGCAGTTTCGAACCAGACAGTTCACACAGCAGGTCCCTTATCCACGAGGGACAAAACCAGACAGGGTCTGGCGGTTTTCCCCAAAGGCTCCCTCTGCAGAGCCACCACTCGCCCTCCCACCTCATCTCACTGAGCTGAGTGGAAACACTTTAACCGGAGTAATTACTTGTCTTCCAAGTTACAGCTGCGTTTTCTAATCTGATGTGGCAATTAAAAAAATAAAGAGTAAAAAAAGGGATAAGAGAAAATAACCAATACAGAAAAAAAAAATCAGTGCCCACTTTAAAAAAAAAAAAAATCACTAGTTTTAACCACAAAACTTGACTTGCTCATAAGCCACACTCTAGTCAACAACCCATGCATGGTCTCACCTAAAATGCTGTACAGGAACTACCATTTCACATTCCCGTGAAATCCCTCCGTTCCCACCCCCAACAAAAAGCAGGTCATAGCACTAAAGACTCCAACCCTGCACCAGCACGCCCGCCCTCCAGCAGTGCGCCTCGACGGGCGCTTGATTCCCACAGAATCTGCTGGATCTCCTTCCCTAAAAATAACCCGGAGCCGCCTGGACACAACCCCGAGGGATGCACTCTGGGGGGAGAGGTGTGGCACCAAAGCCCTTCCAGCACTTCCATGGCCCGGGAGATTTAGACGCCACCCCCTGGTGCCCCGCGGTACCTGCGGCCACCCCAGAAGGCCCTGAGCCCCGCAGGCCCCAGCCCGGGCCGTCCCGGCCCCGCCGCCCTCAGCACCCGCACCGCCGCCATGCTCCTTCCCGGCGCCGCCGCAGTGACGAACTGCCGCAGTGACGAACTTCCGCCACGCCTCGCAAAGCCTCACGGGACATGTAGTCCCTTGGCCGCCCTTCAGCGCACGGTGTCTCGGCTCCCTCTGGAAAAAGGCTCCCGGGAGATCTTTCTGCGGCCTTCCAGTGTGTCATGTGGGCTCGTAACACAGAGGGAGAGGGGAGTTTTACACGAGCAGGTCGTGACAGAAAAAGGGGGGACTATTTTAAACTAAAAGAGGGGTGATTAGGAAGGAATTCTTCCCTGTGAGACTGGTGAGGCGCTAGCACAGGGTGCCCACAGAGGCTGTGGGTGTCCCATCACTGGAAGTGTCAGCGGACAGGCTGGGGCAGCCTGGTCTAGTGGAAGGTGTCCCTGCCCATGGCAGAGGGGTTTGATCTGGATCTGGTTGGAAAAATACGATCTTTAAGGTCCTTTCCAGCACGAACTGTTCCGTGGTTGATCCTGTGATGCACGGATCAGAGGATCAGCGGGATGCTGCTTGTGTGGAGCAGAGGTTTTACTGAGATTGGGTGTGTGAAGACACAACCAGAGCCGAGCCAGGAAAGGAGTGTCATTCCTGATGCTGATATTGACCTTTGGAGAGATGTTTCTTTAGGCAAGTTTTTGCTCTTTATTCACTGTCAGGATAGTCTAAATCAAGTATTAATTACTCAGTGGTTGTATCCACATGAAAGAGTTTGGCTGTTTAGTGCCCCTGTGACAGGTTATTGACACAGAGGACAGGAGGAGGTGGTTACAGGACAGTGATTTTTACATGTTTTCCCAGTTGTCGGCAGGAGCAGGGAGTGCCTGTGGCTGGTTCGAGCAGCCAGCAGAGTGAGATAACCCTAGAGGGTCGGGAGCTCCTCTGGGAAGCTGGCCCTGGATGTTTGGGGTGCTGCTCCAAGGCCTCACTACACTGATAGGTGTAGTGTGCAGCTAGGAAAATACTCTTGTATAATCTTGGTCTGCTGTTTTTGCCACTTACGCCTTTTTATTTTTTTTTTTGTCATTACAACCGTCTAATTGTACTTTAGCTCACAAATCTTGTAT